TATGTATGTATGTATGTATGTATGTATGTATGTATGTATGTATGTATGTATGTATGTATGTATGTATGCATGTATGTATGTATGTATGTATGTATGCATGTATGAATGTATGTATGTCTGTATGTATGTATGCATGTATGAATGTATGAATGTATGTATGTATGTATGTATGTGTGTATGTATGTATGTATGTATGTTTGTATGTGAGACTCTATTATTCATCAATATCATCTAAGGTTAGAAGGCTAAGCTGAAATTTCTTATTGATGTGAATGTTTATGATGATGATGATGATGACGATGAATATAATGATGATGATAGTAATAAAGACGATGATGATAATGATGATGATGTGACCACAGAGGTTTTGATAATGATGACGATAACAGAGAAAATAAATTAAAAAACCAACAACGACATACATACTTTGCTATAGAATATCGATTTGTGCATTAATAATAATCTAAAACTTTTATAATACAAATATTAATAATAACAATAATAATAATAATAACAATAACTATAATTATAATAATAATAATAATAACAACAATAATAATAATATGGTTTATATCGCAAAATAACTTTTTTCAAATTAGTCACACACACATATTGTAAAAAATTTCATTGATAAAAAAAAAGTCTTACCTCTCAACCAATCACATCCTTCCAATGTTTAAACGTCCATCTATTATTGGCGGATGGGCCGAGTCAATTTGCATATTTTGAAAAATGGCGGCGAATGAGAGGAGCCTCTCGATTTAAACTGACCAATCATATTCGAGTATTTCTTTGGTGGCGTTTTTAAATGATATTTAAATGAGATTTAGTTTTGTGCGTATGTGAGTTAATAATATTTAAAAAAATTATAATTGAAATAATTATCAATAATTAAATAATAAGAGTATTATTATTGGTATTTATAATTATGATCATATTAATAACCATAATTTGTTTCTCTTGTCACAAATTTCATTAACTTTTTGGGACAGTTAGTTTAGAAATTGTGGAGTTTTTAAATGGAATTTAAACATATAATAATGACGTCAACATCAACAACAACATCAACAACAACAACAACAACATCAGCATCATCATCATCATCCTCAACAACATCAACAACAACAACATCAACATCAACATCAACAACTCTAGCATCATCATCATCATCAACAACAACATCAACAACAACAACATCAACAACAACAACTCTATCATCATTTTTAGCAGCATCATCATATCAACTTCATCAACTCCATCCTTCTTCAATAACAACAACAACAACAACAACATAGATATAATAACAATAACAACATCATCAATTACATCATAATCAACAATTCAAACATCAACAACAAAACGATAGAGCCGACAACAACAACAATGAAAGACAAATCAAAAAACGCCGCCAAAACTCGGCGGGAAAAAGAGAACGCGGAGTTTTACGAGTTAGCCAAACTACTTCCGCTTCCGTCCGCCATTACCAGCCAATTGGACAAGGCCTCCATCATTCGGCTGACGACCAGCTACCTGAAGATGAGGGCTGTATTTCCGGATGGTTTGTGCTGCTGCTGCTGATGATGATGAGTGAGGGTGTAGTGGTGGTGATGATGATGAGAATGAAGGTGTAGTGGTGGTGATGATGATGATGAGAATGAAGGTGTAGAGGTGGTGATGATGATGATGAGTGAATACATGCAAACAAACTTGTTTATAATAAATTTAATCGACTATTAATTATTAACACCCTTAAGACGTATGCGTGCGTGTGTATGTATGTATGTATGTATGTATGTATGTATGTATGTATGTATGTATGTATGTATGTATGTATGTATGATTTATATTTATGTTAGTATATTAATTAGAATTCCTACGCGTAACCTATACATATATATGGCCCGGGGAAATATGTTCTAAACTTTAAGATCAAAATGTAATGTTTTATACGAGCGGGAAGGAGTGTAAGAAAGAGAGAAGAGAAAGAAAAAGAGAAGAAAAGAGAGAATGAATGAAAGAATGAGAGAGAAAAAAGAGAGAAAGAGAATGAGAGAAAGAGAGAGAGAGAGAGAGAGAGAAGTTAAAACTTAAGAAAACCGTAGATTGAAATTCATAGAATAGATTAAATAGAAATAAGCCAGAAAAGAAAGTAAGAGAGAAAAAGAAAAAGGGAGAGGAGAAAGAGAGGAAAAAAGAGAGAGAAAGAGAGGGAATAATAATAGCGATAATAATAATAAACAATCTATCACACAATCACACCACCCTGAATGACGTCATGGTAACGTAACAAAAAAAAAACAAAATTCCTCAATCTTCATTATAATGTTATGTAAGCAGAAGGCGTAGCTACCTACATTAACGAGAGAGCAGACAGACTGTGTGTGTGTGTGTGTGTGTGTGTGAGAGAGAGAGAGAGAGAGAGAGAGAGAGAGAGAGAGAGAGAATTTATTATGGATTCTGGAAAAGTAGAAATTAATAAATCTCGCTAGAGTGACAACAGCAAGAGAGAAGAATTCAAATGCCGAAACAACAAAAAACAAAAATAACAACAACATCAACAATAATAACAACAACAACAACAACAATAATAATAATAATAACAATATTAATAATAATAACAGTTATAATTATTCGAATAATATGAATAACAAAAACAAACTTACTGCGCTCGTGATCGTGAATATGAATTGTGAATTTTTTTGTCTTGTTTTGTTTGTTTTGTATGTATATTTGTATGTTCGTATGTATGTTTGTACGGTTGTTTGTTAGTTTGTATGTATGTTTGTTTGTGTGTATGTTTGTTTGCTTGTTTGTATGTATGCGTGCATGTATGTATGTTTTTATGTTAAGGTTGAAACAAGTGCTTGGTCGAAAATTTAATTTAACAGTTCTCTTAGATCTTTCAGGAATCAATTCGTTTATAGTTGGGTCGTTGTTGTTGTGTTTCTAGGTGTGTTTCTATGTATGTTTGTGTGTATGTGTGTCTGTGTATGTATGTGTGTATGTATGTATATTTTTATAGGGTGTGTACATACACATTTGCATGCAAATTTGTTCGTTTTAACGTTTGTGTGTATGTGTATATGTATGTATGTATGTATGTGTATGTATGTTAAAACCAAATCATTGACGAATAACACCAAAAGCCAAGCGTATGTATGTATGTATGTATGTATGTATGTATGTATGTATGTATGTATGTATGTATGTATGTATGTATGTATGTATGTATGTGTGTATGTATGTATGTTGATAGATTGGCAGAAAGTAAAAGAAGCGATAGGAATGAATGAAAGAAAAATTATGAAAAAATCCTAGATAATCATTGAAGTGTGTGATATGCACCAAAGACGTTTACCTGAATAATGTCTCTACCGTACATGCTACTACTACTACTACTACTACTACTACTACTACTACTACTACTACTACTACTACTACTACT